TATAATAAATGAAATAATAAAAGAAACAACCATTTCTATAAAAACATGTGTGACTATACGAATATTTATATTTAATTATATTTATAACTGATAAATTATCAGTAACAGATATGAACTTGTCCTGCCACTTTCTGCACGCATCCATTTTCTAATATACTTTACTTTAATACTTTAATAGTTCCTTATAGTATTAAATTGTATTGATAAAAAGTTACACAATTGCGTTGGTTATATAACACCATTTATGAACAATATATAAAACATCTATCAATTGAAACATTGACCTAGTGTGTGAGGCAGGTAACTCACGACCCAAGTTTTAAGTTCAAATTCCACTAGAGAAGCGTATTTATTACCGTATGATAAATACTGTATGATAAATACTCTATGATATTAAATGGCTAATAATTAAAATTTCAAAATGGTTATTAACAATATTAAGAACAACGCATTTAAAAAGAAATAATAAATTTCTATTCACGAATATGAATACGTATGATTCTTTCTTATAATTATATTTCATAATACGTTTCATTCTCATTTTAATTCATAATATAGTTGCACAAATGAATGTTATAATTGTTATGACTATAAGTTCAAGTTCATTTTGTTCTATTTTACATACTTAAAAGAACATAAACGTATAGTTGAGACAAAAATTGACTATAAAATATAGTGAAATTATCAAGGATGGGTAAAACTTCTTCTTTGAAGTTAGAAGTTAATGGCTTATTACAATTAATTTAGTTAAATTAAAAGTAATTTAAACAAAAACTAATTAAAAGTTGAGTTAAAATTAAATTAACTTATTAAAGTTAAAATTTAATTATACAAAACTATATAGTTTAGAAGAATAGTTAGGTTTTTATATATATAATCTTGCATAACTAACTTCTAACTTAAATTACTTTACCCAATCCTGAAGGTTATATAGTTACTCTAATTATATTTATATTCTTTTTCTCTCAACGTATGCAGGTACCGGCGAGTGAACATGTAAAACGTAGTCATTCCCGTTTTTCCGAATTGATACATTTCTAAGTTAATGAAACATGTATTCGCGATACTCGCGTTGCATATAGGAATTGTTTAACAGTGGGAACATAATGACTCGTCATATGACAATCGCGTCAAATTTTTATTACATTAAAAAAAAAAGTACTATCGGAACCACATCGCGTTCTTAATTCGCTTACGACCGAAGAACAGCCTTCCCCCCTCCCCCTCATCCTTGTAATTAATCAGGAAAACTATTTCTTGTTTCAGATCTGGCAGAGATTGCGACCACACGCGGATGTTGTTTCGAGGCTGCAGTTGACAGCAATTACAGATGCAGTGCCAGAATATTCGAGCCTAGCCAGAGTCGCCTTCACGGTAAATTCACAGACTCTATAATTCTTTATTTAATCCTTTGTGATCGTAAAAATCCTTCGTCGGATAATCTTAACGAACAGTTGTTATGCGTTATACATAAATGCGAGGAATGCTATTGGCAGCTTGCTGAATAATTTTGACGATTTTATAAGACGTCTTTGGAATTTTACTTTTGTTCCTTATCACTTTTCAATTCGTCAAATTCGAAATATCTCTATTTCTATAACTATATCAGGATAATTCGGTTTCCGTTTTAGATTCGTCTATTCTCGACAGGATTTGCGGCTACATCACCAGGGCAGTCACAGTTCCGGTAGATACGGAAGCACCGCTGGAGGTTATGGTACGAACCTAGCCGAGTTGTCTCGAGAGTGAATTCACAGACTCTCTATAATCCTCCGTTTAATCCTCCATGATCGTAATAATCCTTTGCGAAATCTTAACAATCAGTAACTGCACGATGTACGGGAACGCGAGGAATGCTATCGGAACGACTGCTGAATAATTAAGCGTTATAACGTCACATCAAGTATTAATATCATGATATAATATTTAATCATTAGAGAACTATTTCTTACTGAATAATTAAACGTCGTAACGTCACATGTATAATATTAATGTTATGACGTAAGAGAGAGAAAGTGGATAATTAAAGAATTATTTCTTATCGTGTTTGTAACGCGATCGTAACAATGCTTTAAAGTGAAATACGACGCGGATAAAATCATGTAACTTTTTAAATAACACATATACGTACGCGACGAGGGGGCAGCTATTAGAGTATTTGAACTGGAGATGAACGCGTCGAGATAAGTCGTACGTTATTTTTAATTCCTCAAACTTGATCAGAAAAACCGTGAGACAACTTCGCACGTGTGATCATCATATTGAGAATATTGTGAGAAGTAGGAGCACTCAACATAATTTAAAGGGTTTTCATTATATTTCATATTTAAAAAATTTAAAAGGATATAAAAAGGCATATTTCATATTTAAAAGATTTAAAAGGATCCTGGAATCGTCCTGCTTTATCGCAAATTTGCTGTATTCGTTATTGGCTGCACAGAATTAAAAATCCTTTTACACAGTTACAATACATTAATTGACGATGACGGTTGATTTTATTTGAAAAACGAAAAAAATTTTATAATTTGCTAACTTTCTCATTTTTTTAAATCAACCGTCCTTGCCTACACTGACATATATATTGCAATTATGCAAAAGAATTTTTAACCTGTGCAACTAATAACAAATATTATATAATACTAACAAATTTACGATTAAACTGGACGACACCTCTTAATGGAGATTTTATTCAAACCTAACCTTATTTAAAAAATTTTTTTGTACCGAGTATTTTCTTTTTTAATCATCAATTCGTCGAAAGCAAGCAATTCCTGTTTTCTAAAATTAATGACAAAAATCTATTTTCTGCTTCAGATTTTTTCGTTTTCGGCGAGGTTTACTGTTACAGGACAGTCGCAGTTCCAGTGGATACAAAAGCAACACCGAACTGTCCAGTTTGGGTCGAGCAGAGTCGGCTAGAAGGTAAGTTCATTGCCTTCCTGTATTACTGTAACATTCAATTGTTCGCGATCGTAATTCGAATTATGTTGACGACTTTGTTTCAACTTTCAATCGATGGTTCAGAGTCGTCAAAATAATTAGTATTGCGATCGTAAAACGGCTACTCTCTCACAAACCACACATACATATACATACTTGCAGCTACACTTGTTGATTAAACAGAATTTTTCGACCTAGCAGAACATGGCAAATGAGATCGTGAAAATATTTGATATGTTATGAAAATATTTAATATATTGTAAAATTTATAATAGAATTCGACTAATTAAAGTGTAAAGATATTATTATTACATAAAAGTTATTTCTATGTTGTATACAATATTCCGTCTCGTATAATTAGAAACTCGATACTTTTTGTCGTATTAATGAAGCAGAATATATTAATGAAGCAGATAGGATTGCCGTCCTTAAAATACATAATTTATTATTATTGATCTATATTATTACTTCGTTCGACCATAGTACTTTCTTTATTCAGCGTATTCGGGAATTACTGATAATTTCGTACACATATTTTCCTGTCAGAATTAGGAATTTCGACTTCTAATTAAGTTTTGGAAGTGGGACGTGTCGTTAAAGTGTCATAAGATTACTTTGGAACATCCTGTACATACCTTTAACCGTACGCTAGTTACGCTGGTACGCGCGTTTACCCCTTTTCGTCCCCTTTCCAGGTTGGAGACGCAAGCTGTTACATCGTTCGACCCCCAAATACCGCCGGCGTACCCCCGCGCTGGCGTAACCACTCTTCTGATAGTGGTGGCTCGCTGTCCCCGAACCGATGCATTTGCCACCGACGTCGACTACGCCGCGATAATTCCATTTCCGCGAAGCGGCGCGAATTCGAAGTTTAATTAATCGAATTCGCGCCCATGCCATCCTCGCCCAGCCGAATCCTTCTCCCACCATTTCTAGTTCTCTCCCGCTTAGGCTCCTTTGCCTCGGCTCTCTTCCTACCCTCAGCCAACCAACCAGCCACCCACCCACCCTCTCAGGCTTCGATCCCGGAAATTAGTAAGATCGCACATGCGGAACACGGAGGTTTCCCGCCTGCTGGAGACGCGGTATATATACTACTTGTATCTACATACGTATGAACCTAAGCATTACGCGCATACCAATACGTACATCGATACGTATGCAAGTCGGTGCGAGCCCTTGCATTACATGGTCGCACAATGCAGATCGTGCGACCCGGCCTGTTAATACGGCGCGGAAATGTGTACTTCCGAGACGGTTGGGAAAGTTTACCGGAGTCAACGAGAAATTTACAGGCGTTCAGTGCGCTCGATCGAGCGCTTCGAACGGCCGCCGTTTGACGGCTTCTCTTTTTCGCATGCCTGGTGCTTGGCGCGGAAATGCGATCGACATTGAACGATGCCGGCGTCGACGCAACTGAATCGATTATTCTGAGAGAAGTGGGCTCTCGATAAAGGAAATTAATACAAACAGCTTTCTGTTTGTGCACACATGGGGCGTGCAAGCTCGCGGTATAATTTTCCGTCGATTTCTCGCCGCGCGAGACCGGCGCTTTGTGTGCCACCGCGATAATTTTTCCACCATTACTATCGCGAAATGAACGTACATACCAATCTTTCCACTCGCTCGGACATTTTTTCCATTATTTTTCGGTGTTTAACGTTTAGATATCTTAATGGTCTTTATAATTACAATTCGGAGTTTATATTGCACTCGAGTAAATCGAGCATCATTTTCACGCTCTGCTCGAAATTAACTGAAAATCGAGGACTTGCTTCAGCATCAGTAGTTTAGGAGCTTAGTTCGCGAACTACTTGAAATTAACTGGAAAACCAGCTTGTGCTACGCATTACTGGAGTTAATCTGCGCAAACGCGTTTCAGCTTGCTCGTGTCTAATACAAAAATCGCCGATATTTTCTGACATTGTCGTTAATGACGAGTGTCAGCGTAGATCGTTGGCGGGATTCGATGTTGTTTGTCACCACGAAGATCGCAGTTTAACCGGTCTAGAATTAAAACGTTCAATACCGTGATTTATTTGGAGAAATCCCCTCACGGACTTCGATCCCGTGTTTCTTTTTTTTACATGTAATTGTGTAAAACAGATTTGTGCTCGTTTACACCTAATTCAGTTTAATCTAATCTCGATTTAATCTACAATTTATTGAAACTTGGACTAAAATGAAGTCTCGGTTTAAAAATCGGATAGTGCTGATTGGTTTCTACTAGCATTACATACAGTAAATTCAAGGTTCCTGGATATTCGCCATGGCTATCCTTCGATAAAATCAGAAGCAAGAAATCGCATGCTAAAATATATTACAGTATATATTCTGTTAAATACGAGGGTGGATCAAATATAAATGAGCCTTTTGCAAAAAAAACTACATATTTTTCAAAATCAATTCTAATTTGCATTTTTCTTATTTTTTTACATAGTCCCCCATCTTATCTATACAATTCCTCCAACGGTCTGATAATTTTTTAATCCCGGTATCATAAAAAGTTCGCGGACGTGTATCAAACCAATCGCACACGAATTACTGCATCTCCTCGTTCGTTGTGAAGCGCTGTCTACCAAGGGCTTCCTTGAGTGGCCCAAACATATGGAAGTCGCATGGTGACAGGTCTGGGCTGTAGGGTGGATGTTCTAGGACAGCCCCAGTGCATATCGGCCAATTTTTGTTGTGTTACTACTGCGGTGTGGGGTCTGGCGTTGTCTTGGAGGAGCAACACACTTCTGATCGGAATGCCGCGCCTTTTTGACCAATAGGCAGCTCGAACTGAAGTTCCTGAGAGATTTCAAGAACAGTTAAGTGCCGATCGCCTTCGATTAGTTCTCGAAGAGTCTTGGTGTTCTGCGCTATGATGCTGGTGCGGGGACGACACTGGTGTGCAATGTTTTCAACACGCTCCCGTCCTTTCTTAAATTCGTTACACCACTGCTTCACTCGAGCCCATGAAAGGGTTCTTTCCCCGAACTGTGGGAATAAACGGCGTCGAATTTCAGCAGCCTTTACATTTTCGTTGACGAGAAACTTAATAATAACACGTTGTGCAACTGCGGGGTGTACCTCTTTCTCGCTCATCGTGATTGCTGCTGAGAGTAAGAAGCACGTGGCGCGCCAACGTTATTACTGCCTTCCGCATAACCCCCCTCCACTGTCCAAAACGTTGTAGACCTCTCAAGCCGCCGACGGGCGCGCAATTTAAAAAGGCTCGTTTATATTTGATCCACCCTCGTAAATACCGAGAATTGTTCAGTAAAGCACAAAATATTGGTTTAATCACCCAAATTTATTTTGTCGTCTTCAAAATAGGCCCCATTTGATGTGATACACTTATGCCAACGAATAATCCAGTCGTCGAAACATTTCTTATAAGTACTTTCCGGTATGACCTGCAGCTTCTGTGAATTTTGTTTTATGACTTCAATGGACTCAAATCGTCTTCCACGAAGTGGTAATTTAAGTTTGGGGAACAGGAAAAAGTCACACGGAACCATATCTGGCGAATACGATGCTTGGTCGATGACTCTTGTTGAGTTTTTGGTCAAAAATTCGCGTACATGTCGATGTGTAGGACGGCTCATTATCGTGATGCAAAATCCAAAAATTGTTCTTCCATAAATCTGGCCTTTTCCGGCAAACATTCTCTTTCAAACGCCTCATAACACCCAGATAATATTATTTGTTGACTGTTTGCCCCTTCGGAAGGAATTCCGAGTGGACAATACCACGATAGTCAAAGAAAATAGTCAACATGACTTTGTTGAAATTAACAATTCCGGTATTTATTTGACAGATGTACATAGAGATAAGAGAATATACGCACAAAATAACACTCGTGATCGATTCAACATTTGTAAAAATGTCCGGACGCTTTCCTTTAACAATCAATAAATAGCCGAAAATTAGTGTAATTTACTTTTTAACCCATCTTTTCTCATGATTTCTGTTACGTTAATTATATGGCTATTTATTAACTGTTCAAGTTAAAGAAAAGCGTCCATTTTTACAAGCGACATTTTTACAAGTGTGCTTAATCGATCACGAATGTTATTTTATGCGTATACGTGTACCGTAATATATTTTGGCATACGATTTCTCGCTTCTGATGTTATCAAAGGATAATCGTAGCGAGTATCCAGGAGCCTTAACTAAACTTATAACTCGTGTGATGTAACTCAATAAATTATGAATATCGAATGTTGATTAGTTCAATGTTCATCCTCAAAGACTTATGGCGTCAAATACAGAAGTCGTGTCTTCATAACATAGTCTTCGATGGTTTCCGTTCTATTAAAATCTATATTTTTTTTATTTTACATTACTTTAGATTTTATGCTGAAAATTTGTGTGTGAACGTTAATAAGCATTGTGATTACGCGTATTTTTTTGAAAATAATAGATAATAGTATTATATTAAGTTCAGATGGTGTATAATCTACGTGAGCGCATTCTGCAAAATATAATCCTAAATAATTTATATTTTTAATATTTTAATATATTTATTTTAATATTTATTATTTCTTAAAACAATATGTTACCATTTTACAAATAAAAATAAACTATTGTTGATACTTTTAAAATAAACGTATTTTTCTCATAAAAACGTCTATTTTCAAATACCTTCAAATACTTTCTTTTAATGATCCAAAAAATATGTTTTTTTTCAATGCGCACTAGATACAGTTGCAGATTAAAATAATAAAAATAGATAAATAACGATTTTTTTAAGTAAAACACTACCATTCACCAAACTACTATCTAAATTCGAATTTTTTCAATAACCTAGAATTTGATTTTCTATGAATGCATGATCTAACGTGTAAAGTAGGAGAATCATACTTTATTCTAGAATTTCATCAATCTTTTTCCTTCTACAGTTTTTCAGATATGAGCGTTGACACCTTTTATAGCATTTCAGATATTGCCATCAAACTTAAATCACTTTTTCTTGGCAAATCACTAAAAAATTCACTATTGTCAAATTGGATCACCTTAATCACTTTCTTTCCGGAACTGCCGTTTAATTTGTAAAATATGTGACGTTTTATATATATTTTTGCCATCTCTCTTAATAAAACTGCTCTGAAAGCGAATTTATATTATTTATGCCTTTGATCTTAGAACCAGCTATGTCGCTATAGATTACTTTTTAAACCATGATGATAGAAACGGTCAATAATTCGTGAAACTAGGAAAGAACATTTCGGCTGTTACATGTACAGGACGTTGATGGCGAAGGCGTTAAATACGGAGCGGATACAGGGACGGGACCGTCAGATATTTGTTCGCACGACGCGCACGAAGAATTAAATATTTTAGCATTAATAGAAGAGCAGTGTGTGTGTATTTTTGTCAGACCGGGCTATGTAAAGGCAGCGGTTGTGCCGCTTCGCGGCGAAGTATGTGTGCGCCGGCCGGTATTTTCACGGAAGACACAGAGCTATAAATATGCGACCGCATTTGCCAACATTTTTTATTGCCCGGCTATAAGCGCGAACCGCGCCGGTAACGCGCGAATGTGTGCGAAATTGTGTTTAAAACTTCGACCCCGCGGGGGCGATAGCGCCGTCACACGTGTAGACGACGTGTGCGGACGTACGTGTCGGTGTGCACACGTGAGCGAGCGCGCGCTCGCGCGCAAATAGCGACCATATACGCGTATATTACGCACTCACAATTCACCTCACGCTCCTTCGTCCTTTAATACGAGCCCGCGCACGTATGCCCGCACTGGAGCGTGTCCTTAACGTGTAAGAAGATTACTACTAGTACGTGAGCGCGAGCGCGAAACTATGCTTGAAACTATTCCTCCGTATAGGCGTGCACATATTAATATTAAGCGTACACACTGTACAAACACGTGCGCAGCGCCGGCCGTGCAACGAATACCTGCGACTTGTCACCAAAGATGTCACGCGCGCTTTCTCTCGACACGCGCGTTTCCGTAAGTCAAACTCTGAAGATCGACGGTCGCGCTTCAAGGGGGGCTACCGAGGATTAAAGGATTCCACAATGGAATCCACTCTTCTTCAGATAATGAACAC